GTTTTTACTGTTTTGGATTTTCATTGTGAGCCGCCCAGAGTCGCCCTCTGGGGGAGATGGGCAGCATATAAATTCAGTAAGTAAGTAAGTAAGTAAGTAAATAAATAAATAAATTTCTTTTTTGCTCTCTAATGAACTTTGTCTCATTATTTAACTGGACATTAACTATTCCATAAATTGAAGCAAGTAAAAACAAAAGCCCAATCAGGTCCCCCAGTAAGTTCCTCCCCCGAAGCATGCTGTCTGCTGTGTGACTTACCCACGGAATAATCTGATTCTCAGTAATAACGTCAAGTGGGGATTAAGAAGAGATGAGACTTTAAACTGACACCATCTCAAAGTGATACATTTTAAATGCTTAGTTTATCTCATACATGGGGTAATCAGATAACATAACATCGGTAAACTTTTCTGAGAGCTTAGAAGAAGTTGGACTGCATATATCATTTTGATAGATTTTATATATCCCTTCCTGCAACATCACTGAGTAGTAGGACCTGGATAGCTCCTAAAGCTAATGCATTATATACAGCTACCTGAAGTGCAGTGGTTCAGGAGTTCAATTCCTAGTAGAGGATTGGAACCCCACAGAATAAGATCTGGCTAAGTGTGCCTGATGAATCCCAATAAGGATGAAACTGGTCACATACTGTCATGACATAACCTTTCCCAGGCCTTGATTTAGATACAACCTTGTTCTAATCTTGTAATTGCATAAGAAGTTGAGTATGGGATGTGTATTCTTGATTTTAAGAATTTTGTTTGTATATATTCAAGGACTGAGACATTTTTGTAAATACACATCTGAGATCCTTATAATAGCAAACCAAGAACTTTGGCCTTAAATAGGCTAACTGCTGCAGGGACAAAGTTGTTTCCCCACCAACAAACATTTTGTCTAGCAAAAGGAAATTTAGATAAGAACTGGCCTTTCTGCAAGGAGACAATGTCCTTTCACAGCCAAGAGCAGACTGCTTTTTAGAATGACTTAACCCTTTCACCTTCTTTGGTTTCAATAGAAGAAACTGAAGTCAGGAATTCTTTTGCTCTTCTGTCTAAGAATGAACAAGTCACCATTTTTCAGAGTTTGCAGAAGCTAAAACAAGATCTTGCTACTTTGTTCAGCAGTGGAAATGATACTGCTGTTTCTGCTAAGATCTCTAATACACGTGAAGTACATCCTATCTAGCTGACGACCAAATAATGATATGAATTCCTGCTCACATGCCCCCACTGATCAATCGTACTCCATTACTGGCCAAACTGTTCGGAGTCCACATCCCACTCAAATGGCTCTATCCACTCTTATTGAACAGTATTCTTTTAAGCTCCCTAATGAAGATTATAATGCGGAACCAAGTGTACAAATCAGGAACACTCCAGTGGCACTTCATACTTCTCTCTTCCAGCAAGATGATCCAAAACTTCTCAGAAAGACTTGGTTGACTCTAACCTACAGGGCCACTATTGTCCGTATGCCCAATCTCTAACCAGTGCCCCTACACAGGATATTAAGAATGATTTTCCATCCTCTATGCAGGCTTGCTCCCTTGAATGACTGTTACCATCTAACTCTCCCATAATCTCCTGGAACATCACAGCATGATATGCCAAGCGCCCCAGACTAGGTTTTGTAGACTTTATAAATCAATTTTCAACAATATTTCTACAAAAGTCATGGGATACTGAGCCCTTACAAGTTAGAGGTTTTTCATCTCATACATTACCATCCCATTCAAGTCTGAAGAGCCTTGGGGGTTTTAGCATCCTATTATTGCACATTCAAGTTGTCTTCAGATGTAACCAACTAGCGATAGTAGTCTCAACCAAATTAATTCAGTTAAAATTATTGTGATAAATATCTATTGTCCACCGAAATAAGTCTACACACTCTCATAACTAAAGGAATCCTGCAGTGGAATGAAGATGTAATGGTTTGAAACTACCAAACCATCACTTATTAATCATTGCCTTGTTAATAAGTGCATGTGGCCTCTCTGTGGCTATTCACATTAAGATAAAGGGATCGCCTTTCTTGCAAACTTTCACTACTCAAAATTTCTAGAAAAGCTATTAGAACATTACCTGAAAACAGTGCTGGCCTTAAGTTATTATCCTTGTAGCCTTTTTCTTTCAACCACTTCTTGAGAAGTATATATTCATTTTTATGATTTAAATTTACTAAACAGAAAAGAAAATAATCACATATCATATTAAGGTATACAGGTTTATACACAAGGTTATTTCATAACAATATATTGCTCAATACTACAGAGTCACACTACAAAACAGAGATGATGAAATAAGTGGACAAAAACTTTGGCTTGCTTGAATAATAGCATGGCAGAGTTCTTTACTTTTAAATTGTATATTTCAGTGTTGCCATTTATCACTGATCTTAGAATATAATACAAAAAATAAAACTAATGATCCTAAAGGCCATCCAACATCAGTGCAACAAAACAAATATCTAATACAAATAGGATATGGTTTAAGGAGAAATAAAATTAAAATCATTCAACATTTATGTGGGCAATCATGTAGGAATCATTAATAACACTGTTGCCATGAACAAAAATATGTGTGCTTGTATATTAATATGGTTAATCATATTACCACCCCATGAATAAAAAGCTCTAGATTGTTTTCTGTATCTCTTTCGGCAAGTTCGGCCTCTGCCTTTCTTCATTTTAAAGTTCTTTGGAAATCTGTACATAAACTGAAAACAGAAAAGCAAATGTAGTTCTTAAAATTATTTTGATTGCAAAAATACCTTATGTCCTATTTCCAAATATGTTGAGAAGAAACTTGCATGTGTGATGTATATTTAACATTTGAAAAATGAAAAATGCAAAGGAAAAAGGACCAAAATACATTCCACATAGTGCAGTACTATACTTTAGGCAGCCACAAAATGCTTCTTTAAAGCCAGACATATGGTTGCTGGTGAGTAAATGTTTCTAGGGAGTTACATCAGAAGTGCTCTAAGTCCTCAATATGTTTGTGGATCCTCAATCTGTTTGACCACTGCAGGAATCATTTTGCCAGTTTCGGCTTATTTTGCTCTAAAATAGGGTAAAGTATGATTCTGCAAGTATCTTCTGAACGACAGCTCCTGGCATCCTTTAGCCACATCTAACAAGAGCTGTAGGGCTCTTTTCATACTGTTAAATGTTATTTAGGGGATGTGCTTAAACGGCAGGAATTACGGAAAATATAAATGTTCACTTAAATCAAAAATATATTAAGATCTACATTCATGTTTGTCTAACCACAATTCCAAATGGGCTCAGAGAGGCTTTCTCTTCAGTAAGCCGACGGAGCACTACAGCCTTTCCAGGAATAAACCATCCAAAATTTGATAGGAAGAACTCTTGAGCATAAGGATTAGGAACGGGCTTTATTTCCTAATCCTTATACTCAAGAGTTATTTATTATTTCCCAGCTAATCTTCAACCCTCCCGTAGCCCATTCATGCTTCGATATCCCCAATCTGCAGCCACATTTTTCCTCGTTGCACTATCTAACTCAAAAGTCACCAACCTTCGCTCGCGTAGCAAGAAAGCGGAAGAGGCGGTCCTCCGCCAGTCGCCTTTTGGGAGAAAGGAAAGTCCGTCGGAGGCGCGTTTCTCATTGGATAAAGAGCCGTTCTTCTCCTACGGTGCTGGGGAGAGCAGTTGACGGTGTTCGTGCAGCTGAGAAAGGTAAAGCAGGATTGCGGCTTAATTTCCCTATAAATATTTTCTCTCTTCCCTTCTCGTCAGCTTTGTTGCAGGATTTTATTCTCTAACGTGCATTTCTAACTCAGTAGGTCCTTGCTTTTAAAGAATTCGGAGCCTCTGCAAACAGTTCAGAACCGTTGTGCAGATGTCAGAAGTTGAATAACCACACCTTCTGATATGTGGTTGGTTATGCGACATATTCTAATCTTTGCTCAAGGGTACCGAGTGCTTTATGTTTTATGCACTCTTGGTAATTGATAAAATGGTAGTCTTTTTACTCCCGAGTGAAACGGGAGGGATGCTGCGTGTATCTAGATAACCTTGCAGCCCAGGAGAGAGGTTCTTGGTTATTGGAGCGTGTAATCGAATGTTGCAAGTTAAGTTATGAATTTCCGACCTTTCAGGGCTTTTTCTTATTCTGAATTTCTCTTGCGTGGCTTCGATTTGGCTGGTAGAGTTTATATTCGCTTAAAAGGACGATGTGTTTTAATGCTGAACAGATTAGGGATAGATCGGCATGGAAGAAATATATCTACAATATGCGGTCGCTAGGAGTCGAAAGCGACTTGTTGGCACATAGAATACTCAAATGTTAAGTAATCCTAAAAAATATATTGCTAGGTTTTCATTTAAATCTATTCTCGACATCCAGTCCCCACTGGTTGGAAGCTCTACTCTACCCAGTTTGCCTTTTTATATTTTTAGTGGAGAATAATTGAAACGGATGGGCTCAATCTAGTCTTCTAATTATATTTGAGTTTTATATCATGCACCTAAACTGACCTACAATACATTTAAAACGTATTATATTAAAACTATAGTCCTGATTATTTCTAGAGGTGTCCTACCCCCCTTTAAAAGTACTACAGGTAGATTTGAAATTGTGGAGTCCTTGGGTTTCTCTGAGCTTGGTTCTTTTCTTGCAAATGTTTCATTACCTGGCTAGGTAACATTGTCAGTGCTAGAATAGGATGGGGTTTGTTTTCTGTTTATGTAATGAAATGTTTGCAAGAAAAGAACAAAGCTTAGAACTCCAAGGACTCCACAGTTCAACCCTGAACTACACATATTCGCCTATAGATTTGAAATTAGAAGCACTGTACCGAATACTAAAACACTAAAACTACGGTCAGTAAAAAAAAAAAAAAAAAAGCAAATTAAACAGCTGAATTGAATTTTTTAGAAAACCTTCACTTCGCCAGGTGTTATATTAGTTTTCCTGTTGATATATTTTGGCATTTAATTTTAGGCAAAATGTCTAGTACACGAGTAGCTGTGGTGACTGGATCCAACAAAGGCATTGGTTTGGCTATTGTGAGGGCTCTATGCAAGCAGTTCTCTGGGGATGTGTATTTGACAGCTCGGGACCCTGAACGAGGCAAAGCAGCGGTGATACAACTTCAGGAAGAAGGATTAAAACCACTTTTCCACAAGCTGGATATCACTGATCTGGAGAGTATCCAAACTCTCCGTGATTTTCTCAAGGAAAAATATGGAGGATTGGATGTGCTAGTCAACAACGCTGGGATTGCTTTCAAAGGTAACCTAAATGTAAATCATTGAATGTGAAATTGGATGAATGACAGATCAAAGGCTTTGGCCACAGCTCTGTAGAGAGTAAAATTGCAGAATTAAAACAGCTGAATATTTTTGCAGGTCTTTCATTTTTTCTGTTGGGAAGGTGAATATGTAGCACAAATATGCTGCAAATTTATTATTGGATCATATGCATTATAAGTAATACTAAACCATGTAATACACAAGGAAGACTGAAAACAGATGAAAGTCCACCAGAACAGATGAAAATCAACCAGATTTTCTGGCTTTCACTATTGTAACAATAGAAGTTACAAATTAAAACTTAAAGTCTGTCATTGCTGGATATTTTAACTGCTTAAAATATTAGAGTAAATATTTTTATCCTGTAATATGGAGTATCATTCAGTTGTCTTTCAGTAGATCTTTATGTAGTTTGGGTGCCCATTTTGAATGTTGTTGTCTGAATATATAACCTGTACCAGTTTATAGATTCACATGTATATACAACTTGTGAGATTCAATAGACAATTGATGCTCTGCTTCCACCACAATTTGCAGCCAGTTAGGAAGTCTGCACTTTCTTTTTCTTGTCCACCTGGAAGGGTTGTTCCAGGCTTGCATTGTACACAAATCAGAAAATATTTTAAATTGTACCCTAATTTGTTAAACAAGCAAATCTGTGAACCATAATTTGAAACTGAGCAGCTTAGCAATTTACTAGAGATTATTTTAAGCTATAGTTTTATACTTCAGTACAAGTTAGGAATCATGGAAGGGGACACTTTTCATGACACATTCTTTTTCCAGGTGTGTGAAGAAAAGAGGAAGTCTAGACCAAAGGGTTTGCGTGGAGTCACAGAGGTTTATACTGTAATTCTGAATACTGGCTTATTACTAATGTTCATGTAATATTATATACAGTACATCTGTTCAAAATTAAGACCTGTTCAATTGGAAATATTCCCAGGAACATTTTCAGAACTATTGACTTAAAGTCTCAGTAATTCTTTCTCCTAATGATATTTGAGAGTCATTTTATTATAACATGCATTTTGTCTTGCATGCAGATAAAAGCTGGTTAGGCACTGCTGAGTATCCATTTCAATTTTTGCTGGCATCATTCCACCTATGTAATATTTAAACTTTTACAGTGCTTCATCTCTTGCTGTTATACAACGTTTTCCTATAAATACATATTGGGAATCTTGACTTCTGTTTTCTTCCATTTTGAAAAAAAAGTTGCAGATACAACCCCATTTGCTGTACAAGCAGAAGTCACACTGAGAACCAACTTTTTTGCAACCAGGAATGCTTGCAGAGAACTGCTGCCGTTACTGAAACCGAATGGTAAGCACATACTGGGGGGTGGAGTAGTATTAAAGATTAATTAAGGTTTTTAATAAGTAATGTTCTGGAATGAAAGAAACAGAAAAACACATGATCAACTCTTCCTTAAGCTTAGGTCTTTAAATTCAGTAATATCCCTTTCCACTTTTAAGTCAGGAACACAAAACATGGTGCTTCTAGAAACGTTAGGTTATACTTTATATCTCTGATACTAATCTCATTGAAATGAATGGGAATTATTTTCAAGGAATTCTGTTTAGCTAGTTGGTAAATGAAGACACGTTTAGAAAATAACCAAACTGGAGGTGAAGGCTGAGCAAAAACAAAAAGCAATTCAAGCCCACTACATGTTGACTCTTATGAAATAAAATCATTGAATAAATATATTCTGCATCAAACTGTAAATAATACTCATAGTTCTGCTTAAAACCATATCTTGAAGAATGTCCTCCAGATATTGTACATTGCCACCTCAATGCCAGATTTTGAATGGACTTTGAACTGAGCTGCTTTTAATTAGGCTTAGGCTGAATTTTGTTCTGCTTTATAATGTGGTTTTGAATTATAGTCATTTAAATTATTTTATATACATATTATATACCTATGTCTAGATTAGACAACAGAGTTTAAATGCATCTGCCCTACAGAGGTATTTATAATCTATTGTAAACTGAGGTGGTCAATTTCCATTGAAATGAATCCTGGAGATTTTTCTCCCAATAATTGTGTCCAGGTGATATGTGGTATAGCTAGCTTTCATAACTTGGCAAAAATGGCAGTTCCAGGGTAAAACAATCAACATTGATTAAATCACTACTCATTAAAATTGTCTGTAAAATAAATCATTTGGAAAGCTAATTGATTTCCATTTGCATATAGATGACAACCATTATCTGTCACACATGCACTTACAGCTACATAGAAATCTAGATTCAATAATCATAAATGTATGTGTGTGTACGCTTATATAAGTCTGTTTATTCAGCATGCTAGCCTTATTTTCCAGCATCTGCTGTGGAAAGGCTCTCTGTCCATGGAGGCTCTTCACCAACTGAGCATTCCAATATTTCAGGATTCTCACACACATGAAGAGTCTCCACAAATAGAAAAAGCTTGCCACACACAATATTTTATTGGGAGGGTTCAAAGAGGGAAGGCAAAGCTAGCTGATTCACTGATCATTATTTGAGATAATAAAGCCTTATTTTCTTTGTGGATAAATATTGTATTGTTACAAAATGAATGAAATTGAAAAAAAAATAGATAATAGTTTCATCTCCTGTAATATGTTTTATCTTGGAATAGGAAGAGTAGTCAATGTATCTAGCATGAATGGTGCTTCAGCATTGTCCAGGTGTAACCAGGACCTGCAGCAGAAATTTCGGAGTGACATAATCACCGAAGAGGAGCTAGTGAAACTCATGGAAAAATTTGTGGAAGATACCAAGAAGGGAGTGCATGAGAAGGAAGGCTGGCCAAATACTGCTTATGGAGTATCCAAAATTGGAGTGACGGTTTTATCAAGAATTCAGGCAAGATTGTTGAATGAGACAAGGAAAGATGATGGTATTCTCCTGAATGCCTGCTGTCCTGGGTGGGTCAGAACAGATATGGCAGGTCCCAGGGCCCCAAAAACCCCAGATGAGGGAGCTGAGACTCCAGTCTACTTAGCCCTTTTACCCACTGGTGCCACTGAGCCACATGGCCAATTTGTTAGTGAAAAGAAAGTTCAGAAATGGTAACTCTACTATTATGCTTCTGTATTAAGCACTGGAAATTATAGATGCTATAAAGCTCTTTGCTACAAGTATCTGCTGTAGCAGTTATGCCAGGCTCCTATGCTGTGGAAGTGAAAACCAACATACAGTGGATTGAGATAAAGAGCACCCTGTTGCTTAATAAGATCACTGATTAATCTTCTGCTGTGGGTGATAATTAGTGTTGTACCTTAATAACAGCCTTCAGGATTCTCACTTTTCTCTGATTTGGGCAGCTTTACAATATTGGGTTCTAAAATAATTCACTCTTAAAGATTTAGAAGGCACATATGCATAATCTTCTCTTTTGGTAAAGGTCATTTTCTGTAATGTATTAATTGTGTCAGCTTAAACACAAATTTTGACTATATAAAATAGTAAATAAAGGTTATGATTAACTAATTTTGGTGGCTATGTATGGTTTCAGTACAAATGTCTTTTTACCCCATTAATCACAAACAACTACGGGCAGTGTGTATGTTTTTTAAAGCAGAGGTAGGGATCTCTGGCTTTCCAGTATAGGTGAACTACAGCTCCCAACAGCAGTAGTAAGTATGGCAAATAGTGAGGGACATTGGAGAATCTGATGCAGCAACATTGTAAGAGCTGTTTGCCATCCCTGCCTCAAAAGCAAGAAAATTCAAATGTGAAATACAATAATTCACACTGTGCAGAAAGTATAGTACGTACACCTTCTCACCCAACGTCTGTATCAATGTTTCTCAACCTTGTCAACTTTAAGATGTGTGGACTTCAGTTCCCAGAATTCCCCAGCCACTCTTGCTGGCTAGGGAATTCTGGGAGTTGAAATCCACACATCTTAAAATTGACAAGGTTGAGAAATACTGATCTATATGGATAAACTGCAACAGTAACAGGCCAATCTTGTATGACTTAAACATTTCTTCTGAAAATATGTGTAGATATGCTACTTGACATTCAAGAAAATTTATAACAATATGCATTTATATACATATGCAAACACAAAATTTAAAAAGGAAAAAAATAGACAAGTAGATTTCCCCCTTTTTTAAAGAGCCTATATGAGTGCAGACAGGTATCAAAATGTTAGTATCAGAAAGTTGTTTTTGTTTTAAGTAAATAAAAATATTAAAATGGCATACATATTTTTGAGAAAGGTACTAGTACTTCTTCACATCACAGTAATAGAGGTGTGTATACAGTCATATATAGCAGCCTTTAAGTCATGGAAGAACCAGCTGCAGCAAAAAACCGCAGCTAGGAGTTTTGACCTGCACAGGATGCGGTGTTGAAATTTCCTTTTTTTTTTTCCTGTTGGGGCTTTCACAAAAAGGTCTGAATTAAAAATTAATTCAGATGAATTTCGTCAGTTTATTTAAATGATAATCTGGAGAATAGAAAGGTAAAGACAAGGTAAGGCTTAGTTTATATGTATTACATAGAGAGCTGCTTCCTGGGTTGCACAATGTGTAACAACTTTCTTTGAATCCATAATTTGAAACCACTATTAATATCTTTGCAAAATGTGAGAGGGAAGGTTTGTGCTTGGTAAGCATACCTTGCACAAGACTGTGCATGAAAGCTGCCATCAATGTGAGTCAGACTTATCATCTGATGCTTCCTCAGTGCAAAAATATGGCTCACTTGTTCCTTCTGAGCATGGAAATACCTTTCAAAGAGCAGCTCTTATGGGGCTTCCCTTCTTCGAAGTCCTGCTTCCTGACATCACCACTTCTTTTGACCACTGGGCCAGATTTAGCATTTCAGTCTGCCTCTAACTGGGAGCAAAAGCCTTTGGTGTAGTGGTTAAAGGCATCAGGCTAGAATCTGGGAGACTGAGTTCTAATCCTGCTTTAGGCATAAAGCCAGTAAGTGACCTTGGGCCAGTCCCTCTCTAGCCCTAGGTAAATGGCAATAGCAAACCACTTCCAAAAAATGCTGCCAATCAGATCTAGCTGCCATATCCAAAGATATGTTCTTGGGAAGTCATACACCGTTTTTCAAACCAGCTAGATATTTAAGCCAAGTAACAATTCCCAAATTCAGAAGAGCTGTAACTCTGGCAAGATTAAATGCCTGTCCAACAGCTATTTTGAGGGGAGATTATAGAGCATCCCAGCTGAACAAAGACTGCCCCTGTAGTAAAGGAGTTCCTGAAACATTAACCCACATTTTGTCATATTGCCCTTATTTTAAAAATAACTGGTTGCAGTTAATAACTCCCCAACTATCTGGATCCATTTTATTTATAATTGTTACTGTCTGATCAATGTGATTTTATTTCTCTGAAAATGGCTATGATTTGTATTGCTATTGGTAAAAATACCACAGTCTGACCACAACATTTTTATAATTATTAAATTTTATTATGGTTCTTGTTCCTTGTCTCAGGATTTGTTTTCTTTTTGAATTTGTCAATGACTGTAATATGGTTTACTTACTACTATGAGTGTAGACTTAAGCCCATCGGAGGCAGGGAGCTTATTAAGCAACACTTCTATCAGAGAATGTAGGCAGGTAATGTATATTACAGTACTTGATTGCAAAAATAACAAGCAATTATTCTTGATTTCAAAAAGAAAAAAAAACTTCAGGTACCAATGCAATGTATAGGTAATTCATCAAAAATGTCAATAAGGGGAATTCACAAGAGTACAACATGATCCAGGATAATAGAACACTAGACTAGAACAGGTCACTTTAATAATATTTAGATAATTGTTTTTTCACAGCCTACAGAAAAGTTCATTGTGGTTTAATAAAGATAAAAACATTCATGTACAGCCACCCTATGTATTATATTTGAACTAATATATGGTTCTAAAGTTTAAACTGAAAAATGATAGACTCAGACCCTCCAGGGCCTGACTAATGAAAGTCTTCTGGATGGAGAAACACCTTTTCAAGCAGTGAAAAGTTCATGGTGCAGTGTTCAATCTTGTTTTCTTTGGGAGGTGCTGTATAATACCTATTAGCATTTTGTAATAGTTTACAGTATTTACAAATATACAGGTTGAATATTTCACAGCTTAAATACTCCAGCTTTAATAACTATTTCGTCATCATCAAACATCCCCAAATGCTATTATTTACCTATCAGCAACTCTGAATGTAAAGTCCAAGCAAGCAAGCTTTACTAAACATTATATAAATAAATTGCAAATAGACATGCATAGAATTGTACTGGGCAGATAGAAATGATTGGAGATAAGTGGCCCCGCGGATAACCAGGGCCTATGCCATAAAGGGCTTTATAAGTGACAATTAGCACCTTTAATTGCACCCAGAAGTGACTGGCAACCAATGTAGCTCACAGAGCAAGAATGACACATGGGCATAACAGGAAGTGCTGGTCACTGTTCACACCACTGCATTTTGCACCAGTTGTAGCTTTTGAATAGTCTTCAAGGTCAGCCCCATGTAGAGTGTATTGCAGTACTCCAGTCATGAGGTAATCAAGGTGTTAATGACCATCTGAAGGGCCTCCCAGTTGAGGAAAGGGCACAACTGGTGTACAATATGAACCTCCTGGCCGCAGCTGCCACCTGCTAATAGAGCAGTAGCTGCGAGTCCAGGAGGACCCCCAAGTTGTACACCTGCCTTTGAGAAATTCAACCCCATCCAAGACCGACTGTGAACATGCCAAACAGCCACAAACACCCAGTCTTTATCAGGACTGAGCCAAAATCTGTTCCTCTCCATACCCAAACAGCCTCCAGACTCTGGGTTAGTATATTGACAGAGGTAGAGATAGTAATTGTATAATGGGCTATATATTTTGTATTTTAATTCCTGTTAGCCCCTTGAATACTTGAGTAGGTGGGACAGAAATCAGATAACAACTTTTCAGGCATCCAAAATTTAGTGCTTATTTTTTAGAATCAAATAATGTACACAGAAGATTATAGAAACATATAGTATGGGCAAACTAATAGGTTATATCATAAAGAACAAACCATATATTCCTCTATTTATTTCTAAAAAGAAGTTAGAATTGTCCCAAACACCCTGCCATCACAAATATGTGACGCAAGTTCTTTTCTATTCAGAAGAGAACAAAAATGCTCTCCAAATACATTCAAAAGACTATCATTAACACACTGTCCAGGCTGTGCGCTAGTTGTTATAAAAAATCAGCGCTTTTCTGTAGTCACTCTGCAAAACATGATAAATGTTGCTATTTGTGCAATATGTATTTATTTTATTTATGTATTTAATCAATACTTATTTATTTATTTATTTATTTATTTATTTCAAATATTCCAATTTCAAACGGCTTTGGGAGGCTTACATTTTTTTTTAAAAAAGTAGGAAAAATAAACACAAGGAAGAAACAGAATACAAAGTGTCTATAACATTCCTGCCGCTATTCAACGGGGGATAGAACCGGAAGCAGCGTAGCTGGGTTTAAGGGAAGCCTATTTATAATTATACAGGTCGATGCTCTCAAATCCACCTGCGCAGATCTGGCCTCAAATACTACCGCAGTTCTATCAAAACAACTTTTCACAATTTGTTGCAGTCTCCTGTTCCGACAGCAGATGGAACCGAACAAAAGCCCAGAGACACGCTTTACGAATGTACCATCTTTCCGGGGAGGGTCGGCGTGTCTTTGGGTCCAACTACAGGCGAGTCAGTCTTCGCGTCACTAAATTAGGAACGGGAATGACGTATGCACAACAAGCTTTCTTACCACCTTTCCGAGATAGTGATCAATCCGAAATCACCACCACGCTTTCCAGCTCTCCAGGGCCGCTCTTGAAAAGTGGTAGTTCCCCAACCCGGCTGCGGAAGGGAGAGGGAGAAGCGTGACTCTCCCAAGTCCAGCCACCCCGGGGACGCGCTCTTCTGTGCTGTGCTCCGCTTCTCCTTCCTGCTTCTGCTCCCTCCCACTTATTTCCCGGCTGTTACCTCAGTCCCGCCCAGCCGTGGGACACGTCGTCCCTGCGGGTCCAGCGGCTGTGCAAAAGGGAGCTGCGGAGGCCAGTTTGGGTGTTCCGCGCCGACCTTTTTCAGACGGTGAGTCGGAAAGAAAGCTGGGCAGTTGCGGAAGGTGCTGGTTTGGGGAAACGCAGCATGCAGTACCTCCTGCTTTTTCTGGGTGTTGAAATGGAGGCTGCGAGATTTATTGGCGGGGTGAGAGACAGGAATCCCCCTTCTCGCCTTCCTTTCCCGCAGAGGACCCTTCGCCTCCTCCGCCGCCCCGGTCTCCTCTCGTTCAGGTGGAGTACGCCGCCGCCAGTTCGAAGCATTACTTCCCCTTATGGGAGCAGATGGTATCTGAGGGTGCCATCCTTCCCACTTGCTCCAGAGGACAAAACAAATGGGCGGGGAAGGAGCTCTCCGCCATCCTCTTTTCTAGGACTGCTAAATCTGGGCTCAAAAATCGTCCAGGTTGTTGCAGCCCAGATCTGGAAGCCCTTCCATTGCTTGCCTTTTGTTGTGTGGACACATGGGCAGGTATGCTGGTGTGTCCGGTGATTCCGAGATTCTACAGGGTGCCTGCTGGCCCTGGCGGGTTACCAGCTGTTATGGTCGGTGTGGCTGTATAACAGCTGTTGGGTTTTGTTTGCTGTGTAGGAGGCGGCAGCCTGTCAACAGGAAAGAGAGGAGAGCTGTTACTGCTAATCAGAGCATTGTTTTTTATCTACTTTGCCTTGTTTACACACCAATGTTAGCTACATAATTTATTACAGCTGCCGTTGAAAATCTAGGAAAAATGTTGAAGTCGCTTGAAGAAAAAAACTGTTCAACTCCATTAAACAAGCTCTTTAGAGCTGATCTGATTTCTGCAGGGCCTTGGATCACTCCATATAGCGCAGGGTTTCCTATGTGTAAGCAAAACGGAGAAAAGTGGGCAGAGAAAATGTATTGTAATAATATTTAGATGTTACATTATCAGTCTGCTATTATTCATAAAATAGCTCTTCTGCCCTTCAATAAAAAATTTGTGGTTTGTTGTCCTTCCATATAAAAAATCCACTATTATCAATGTGTGTGGGGAATAATTTTGTTTCTACTTTTAAATAATAATTACTGAACATAAATTTTCCGGGGGCCAGATGGGGGCTCGCATCTGTGGAGATGGCTGGTGGGGTGATGGGTTTGGCTCCCCCCAGCATCTGGAAGGTTTTAGGGCTAAAATTTATAGGGAGTTTTTAGGACATTTTTAATGTATGTTTCTATTTTAAGTATTTATGGATTTTAGCCATTGTTGGAGGGATTGAGTTTTTAGGACATTTTTAATGTATGTTTCTATTTTAAGTATTTATGGATTTTAGCCATTGTTGGAGGGATTGAGTTTTTAGGACATTTTTAATGTATGTTTCTATTTTAAGTATTTATGGATTTTAGCCATTGTTGGAGGGATTGAGTTTTTAGGACATTTTTAATGTATGTTTCTATTTTAAGTATTTATGGATTTTAGCCATTGTTGGAGGGATTGAGTTTTTAGGACATTTTTAATGTATGTTTCTATTTTAAGTATTTATGGATTTTAGCCATTGTTGGAGGGATTGGTGTTTTTTCCTTTTTTGTTATTGTGAGCTGCCCAGAGCCACCCGTTGGGGGAGATGGGCGGCATACAAGTTTAATAATTAATAAATAAATCCACCCAAGCATTCTACTGCACTCATAAATCTACCACACTCAGACAAATTAACACCTGCCTGTATAGCTCTCAGACTAGAGAGTAGAAACAAATAAGAAAGGAAGGTGTACCATTCATAGCATCTATTCAGAAATATACCAGTAGATCTGTGTATACCTTGTGTCCATCATAGGGTAGCTGGAGTCCAGTCACACTGATTTTCAGACTTTAGACCAGCGATGGTGAACCTTTTGAGCTTGACATGTCAAAAATTCAGAAAATGCCTAACTTGACTGCTGGCCTGTGACCCCCCCCCCCAACAAAAGAGAAACAATTCTTTACATATTCATTTATTTTTAAAAAAATACAGTCCAATCGTGTGGTGCTATGTATATGAAGAAATGTCAAATAATTACAAAAATGAAATATGAGTAAAACAAACTCAGTTTCTTTGGTA